TGGAAAGATGCGTGGCATTTCTGTAGAATTTTCATGCCCTCAAATCATACAGGGTGGCTAAAACTGATTTTTCAATTCAGAACTTTTGGAAGTGATTTTTCTCGAGTTTTTCGAATGGAACACCCTATATATATTTTTAGGTCATTTGGTGTAAAATCGAAACAGAAACATCTTTCATCTCAACATTCATATTGATATTCGTAATCATTTTTGAATTATTGAACTTCGAAAATTATAGGTTGGCCATTTTCATCGATACACTTTCTCATTCAAGCCAGTTTTTTCAGAACATTGATAATGTCAACCGTTTTCGAGAAAATGTATGTATGAATAGAGTTGGGACACCCGGTATATCACAATCCAGTTTATAAGAAAATAACTGTCTTTCTGAATATATGAATATAAATATGTTATAATCTGGTAGCATTGATGAAAAGTGCAATTTCAAGTATTGGCCTGAAGTTCCATTTTTTCAAATTGGAATCGTAGCTGTCCATGTTATTTAAAACGGATTTTTTCCTTAGCATGCATCATATGTCGGATCGCTGATTTTGGATGAAAATGTTAAAAAGGATGATCAGCATGGATTATCACCTTGGATTAAAGACCCCTGCTCAACAAAACTAGAAAATAAGGTACGTAGAAATTTGGTGGTATAGGAATTTTCATACATGAAAATTTCAATTTTGATATCATTCAGAAAGAAGAATCCCCTTCAACATATTTGGTAATTAAAATCAAATCCCCAGAAAAAGTATTATGTGGCATGTATAGACCACAAGCTCTAAATATCCGTTATTTCTTGAATTTTTTGGAAAAGTCACTCGATACAATTAATAGAAACAAATGTGATTGTTTTTACTTTGGTGATATGAACATAAATGTATTAATGAATAGTGCTGAATCTAAAGATTTGATAGTTATTCACAATTCTAGTAGTTTCAGAAATTGTTATGAAAGTATTTCAACAAGAAACTCATCACCACTTGACCATTTTATAACAAATTCAACAAAGAATCTTGACGTTTTCATTATCTACAACTCATTAAGTGACCATAAATTTTACCTAACTTGCATTCCTGAACCAATCTTTGACAATAAGAAATATGTGACCAAATTAATAAGAACATATTATGACATAGAAAAATTTCGAACTGAATTGGAAATAATGAATTTCAATATCAATAATTACAATAATATTGATGGAACATATGAGGTAATTATTAGACAGAGGTGTGATTTGATCATAATGTCAGTAATTTCATCAAATTACGTGACAAATTTCATCATGAAAGAAAAAATCACCCAAATATAAATTATTTCAAAGATCAATATGATTTCGATAATAACTTGGTGAACAAAACAATAAGGGAATCAAAAAAGAAATTTTATGATAACCATTTTTTTCAATAGAACTCCGAAATCAGTTTGGAATGGAATCAATTCACTCTCATACAATAAATCAAAGAATCAGACCGATAATATCGAATATATCACATTGAATAATATCAAAATTGAAAGTAGTCATCAGATGAGTGATGAAATTAATAATCTCTGTTGAATGTCCAAATTCATCTTCGAAAATACCTCCAATTTCTGAAACATTGAACGATTGTTCAAATGTTTCATCTATATTCTTAACACCAACAAATATTCCAGAAATTGAAAATATAGTCGATAACTTGGATGTACGGAAATCTTGTGGATTTGATTGCATAACTGTGAAAATTGTAAAAATAATCAAATCTGAATTAACTACCATCTTGTTGAAATTTTTTTCCAAATCTTTTGAAACTGGTATTATTCCTGACAAAATGAAAATTGCTAAAGTATTGCCAATACACAAAACTGGTGAGAAAGACGATATGAATAATTACAGGCCAATATCTGTCCTCTCTATTCTTTTTGAAATTATAGAAAAAAATCATGAATAATCGTCTTTTTGACTTCCTCGAAAATAACAATCTATTGTACAGTGGTCAATATGGATTTCGTACGTCAAAGGATACAGAGATAGCTGAAATGATGGATGTAATTTTGGACATCCAGTCACGGATTGACGAAAATTATACCGGGTGTTTCATGAGAAGACTCACATAGCCAAATGGTTGATAGGGGAAATCAAGACGAGTTGATGTATATATATTGAAAACATTTTTTGCCCCTCCATAACGAAGATGTGAAATTGTTACATAACTTTGATGGCCGATATTACAGAAATGATTCATCGTAATCTGCTGGAATTTGGCAGCGACGTATCTCTACTGGAACTATTCGAGATAACATATTATGAAAAAAAATATCCAGGTCCAGACTTGGAAAAATTCCATGTTTCATTGTTATGTCAAAAAAGTTCACTTTGTGACCACTTTTCTCGAAAAAATCTATCAGATCCAGAAAGAACAGACAAAATGCTATAAGAACTGCTCTTCAATCTACACGGCACACTTTGACCGGTTCAATAGAAAAATATGGAACAAAATCGTTCGAATGAATTTTCAATTTCGACCTGGCTGATAACTCTCACCTTTCAACTGGATTCGTGTAAAATGATTTTTTTTTACTTTTTCATTGGATAAAAATTGACAGAAGAGAGTAGTTCTGATTTTTTTATGATTTGACATGTTAGTTTTTGACCGAATTCCAAGATAGATATATGATTACTCGTGACTCAATTTAATAAATTTGTTATAAAGTTGTACATGTTTTTATTTTATGTGACGGTTTGATTCCTGGTTTACCATAGCTTTCCATTTGTAACATTGCCAGCTATAACCCAATGGGCACAGGTACATTGAATCAACGTTTATTCAACTTTGGGTTGAAAATCGTTACTCGTTGATTAAATAACACAAATTCGACGTGATTACCTAACAATTTGTTGATAAATATATTGGAAATACGTATTTTTCGTTTTTATCAAAACTATTGATTGAAAAAAACGTTTCTTCCTGCTACGTTTTTACAGATATTCGACGAATACTTACTAAACCATTTTTCAACGTTTTTTCGACGTATACATGCCCATTGGGAAAGTGCATGTTGCTACTGCCATATGAGTTTTTCAATTATCAGTAACTCAGCAGGACTTTTTCACACAATTTTATATCTCCAGAAGGTGATTTATTTAATGAAAGGAAATCTGTACTCCAGGAAGAGTACTAAGAAACTGAAAATTACTTCCTTGATTCAACTCTCACTATAGTTTGTTCATTTCATAGATGTTTTTTTTTTTAACAATAACTAAGTTTATATATAGGCACAAGATGATTCCAAAAACTATCGAAGAGGCATCGAAATCTGCTTGAAAAATTATAGACAATGCTAGATTGGTTTATTGATCACCTTCGGGAAGGTTCGAAAGTTCGACACCAGAGGCCACACACTTTATGATTTTCACGAATTGTTATATGATCTGAGTATACAGTGTGTTACAATTTGGTCCACCAAACCCCTGTACCTTCATAATCCTAGATTGATTTGATTTTTTTTATAATATACTCAAAATTATCTACTTCGTCGAGCAAATAAAATATCAATCACAATAACTTCAGCGGAATTAAAGAAAATTGGCAATCGATTCGGACTAGTCACGTTTTTTATCAACGTTACAATTTTTGAATGATTGTATTTTTCAAGTCAGGTAGATCATATGGCTACAAAGTTAGATAAATTACGAATAAAATGAATAGAAATTTTGATTCTCTATCAAGAAATAAAAAGTTAGTTTTTGCATCTCATCAATTTTTCAGTACTTGCTGCACTGATTTCCGAAATCCTATTACTGAGGTTATAATACATTCAGATTTGAAAATAATTACATAATCACAATACTAGCTGTCAGGATAAGATCATCTGATGGCTACAGAGTTAGGAAAATAATGTATAAAATCAATGGAAATTTTGATTTTTCATTGAGGAACAAGAAGAAAGAGGAAAAACTGAATACAAAATATCTATTCAAAAATAACATCAAAAGATTAGACAATGAACAAATCAGCGATTATTTCTAACAAGTTCAGATTTCTTTATTCTTGGTCAAATATCCTTTATTCTCTATACCTACACTTTTCATATCTCTTTCAACTCTCCTCAGTTCTTCTGGTGTTATCTTCCTGCAAAATATTCTTTTTTGTCACAATTGTTTTCTATTCCTTGACCTGAAGTAAAATTATGGTGATTATGATCATGGGTTGTGAAGGCGCAAAAAACTCGCAAAAAAATGATGATAATGAAGGAGCAATGTTTTCTGTAATTGTTCAATTCTGAGGAATCCTAGGAATTGGAAATCGTGTGAAAGCTCTGGAAATAAATTACGCTTCGCTTTTCTCAAACAACTTTGACAGCTAATATTGTCTTTGGTATTGTGTAATTTTAAAATCCGAATATATTACAACCTGAGTAATAAAATATTGAAAATTAGTAGAGCGAGTGGTGAAAAAATGATTAGATGCGAAAATTCACTTTTTATTCATTGATAAAAAATCTGAATTTCTAGTGATTGTATTCGTTATTTATCTCACTCTGTAATCAGATGATCTACCTAAATACAATCATGCCTGGTAGCATTCGAATTCTCATAAAAATAATTATACACGGTGACTTGAAGAATCCAATTATTCAAAAATTGTGATGTTAATAAAAAACATCCCTTATGATATATTGTTTTGAAAATTGATATAGGAGTATTTGTGACTAGTCCGAATCGATTGCCATTATCAAAATTATTGTAAAAAAATTAATAATCTGTTTGTCTCAATTTTGCTGCAGTTTTTGTGCTCGCAGTAGGGTAAGAAGTTTTTCTGCTCGAAATAGTAGATAATTTTATGTAGAATATTTTGAAAGAAGAAAATTTTTCAAATCACTCTAGGATTATGAAAGTCCAGGGGAGGGGTTGGGTTGCAGGAAGGGTGGGGTGGAAAAAATTGTAACACACTGTATGTACCTAATATACTGGACCTTTTTCAGAACAACAGAAAAAATGGCCAATAACGATGCAGGACGCAGTGGAACGGACTACCAGCTGAAGGTTTTTGGACTGATCGCTCTAGAGGCCATTTCATTACAAGATGAAAAATGGGAATTATCAACAGAGAATGAGAATGCAGGAAAATTTGATGATGTTGTTTTGGAAAGTGGAGATGGTGGAATAGATATTTTGATACAATGCAAACATAAAAAAGGAAAGAAAAAATCAAAGGATCCGGTACTCGATTGGAAAACCCTCCTTCCGGAATATTACAACTCCTATAAGATGAAAATCTGTAACTCATTCAAACGGAAGCTATTGATGATATTATGCTCAAATATTGGTCCTTCGGATGGTGATTTTCTTGAACCCATAAAGATTACTATAATACCAGGAAAGTACAAATCTTATCAATTCAAAAGCTCAAAAATAAAAGAGATTCAAGAAATATTGAATGCATTTGATGATCATTCCCTGAAATTTTGTGGGGAATTTAGGTTTCTTCATATCGACGATTTAGCAATAGAAGACGGCATTAAAAACAAACTAGAAGAAGCACAGAAAATGTTTGGTTTGAAATTTTCTAAACTTCATTTTAAAGAGAAAATAGACGAGTTCTTTCAGGGAAAACTGCAAAAAGAAAGACGTATCAAAAAGTCGCACGTTATAGCTTTTTTATACGACTCGCGAAGTCAGGATTACCTGGAAAAACTAGATTCTTTTGAAATAGACTTCAAGGAATTATATGCCTTTGGTGATAATCAAATAACCAATATTGTATCAGATTATCATTTCTTAAATATACTCAAGATCCATAGAAGCTTACTGAAAGTTCATAGCCCCATCAAAAATGACAAACTTTACAAAAAAGATCAACTTCTGTTCATCGATCCAAGTAATGGAAGTGGAATTTTGGACAAAATAATAGCATCATTCGAGCTTCCTGGATACTGCGTACTTGTCATTTCCCTCAGAAACTCTGATCAATTCCGTAAAATTCAATCCCGTATAAATGATATATTAAATAAACAACAATACAAGAAAGTCATAATTTTGTCGAAAGTCCCAATCCAGGATGATTCAATTCAGGATGAAATCAAATTTACTGATCTAACAGAAGCATGCCGAACTACCCTATTGTCAAAAGAAGTTAATTTACAAGGAACATATCTGCCTATTAAAGAGCTCATCAATAATTCAGTGGAAAATATTGATTCAATAATAGACCAGGAAACTATTATTGACTTGATGTATGGTGAAACTATCCAAATAGGTACAGCCATTAGAGACTTGGGTGAAATCGAGCATTATTACATAGAGAGAAAATTCAAGCTCGAAAAAATGGTGTTCACGGAACAAGATATTTGCAATTTCATTGGTCAACCTGGAAAATTCATTTTAATTTCTGATGGAGCAGGAAAGGGCAAAACTACTGTCCTAACTAAACTTGGATATTTAATAAAAAAAATATATCCCAGTTCTTTCCTCATAAGAATTGATCTGAATATGTTTACCAGCATATTTAAAGAATTTCAAACAGCGAGTAAGAAATCAATTAATTTAGAAGAGATACTACAGTCAAAAGATAAGAATTATTTTAAAAATAGTTTAGAACAGAATGTTTTCTCAAATACAAAAAACATCATCCTGATGGTCGATGCTGTAGATGAAATAAGTCCGGACTACACTAGTCTAGTTAACAATTTTATGCTTCAAACGTCTGAACGTAAAAATATTTCTAAAATATTTGTTACAACTCGTCCTCATTTAACGAAGAATTTGGAATCCTTCCTGAAAACTGAATCATATCAATTACTTCCATACTCAAAATTAGAACAAACTGATTTTCTCATGAAATACTGGAAGCAGAACCTCATAATAGATGATGATGAAAAGCTAACTAAATGTGAGATTTATGCAAAAACATTGATAAACAAACTAGGAAATTCGATAGGATACACCTTTTGGAATTTCATAGGCATTCCACTCCAGACAAGAATGATTGCGGAAATATTTCAGGGCTCTGATGACAAGAAATACCAGTGGGTGTGTTGTAAAGATTTTTTACAATGTGATAATGAGACCTTGGAATTGCCAGATAAGATAAACATAACTGAATTATACGATATGTTTGTGGAGAAGAAAAAAGATATCTTCATCGAAGATAAATGCGATACTCAAGGAAATGTAAAAGCAAAGGAGATTATTTCGAAAATCTATGAAGATTATATAAATGAGCACCAAAAACTTGCTGCTGGACTATTACTTAATGATCATCAATATTCATTGATGAATGTTTCCAAATATGTTAACAATAGCTCCAAGGAAACTATCATCGGAATGGGAATGTTACAAGAAATTGGAGACGAGCTATTGTTCGTTCATCAAACATTCGCTGAATATTTTTTGGCTAAGGCAATGTGGGTACAATTGAAAGAGATTGCAAAACGCAACAAATTTGTGATTTTCCTTTTGAAAGACTTGTTTATACACCCGGGATTTGAAATGATCAGAGCTTTTTTTGAGGGCATCCTCACCAACGAATACTCCCAAATCCCAATGAAGGTTTTTGAAATTTGCGGTTCAACATTTGACTCTATAACTTGGGATCACTACAACAAAATGAACATTTTAGTAAGAGAAGGCCGCAAAAATATTTTGAAACTAACAATAGAGAAGAGTAAAAATAATAAATCTTTTCTTCATATCCATAATTGTTTATCTGATTTAATTTTATTAAGAGATGCCCTTGAATTTCAAGAAATAATAGAGTTTTTATTGGACAAGGGAGCAGATGTGAACGGAAGAGATAAACATGGTCGTACAATTCTACATTATGCAGCCGAGGAGTGCAAAATAGAATTAGTAAAATATCTTGTCAGTAGAGGGGCCACAATCAATGTTGCAGACAGAAAAGGTTACACCCCATTCCACTTAAGTGTGAAAAAGAATTCCACAGAGCTGTTCTCCTATTTTATCGAAAATGGTGCTGATGTAAAAACGAAAGCTGAAGGAGAAACTCCTCTACACTGTGCTGTGGAAAATAAAAATTTTGAAATGGTCGAAGAACTGACAAGAAGGGATGTCAATATCCACGAGAGAACTTATTATGGAGCCACAGCTCTGCACATCGCAGCAACCGTGGGCAAGGTCAATATACTGAAACATTTGTTGGAAGAAGGAGCCAGAGTGAATGTTCTGGCAAAAAAAAAAATAGGAAAAACGATTTATTTCATCCACCAAGTGGAAGTGATGTTAATATCCAATATAACGACGGTGAAACTCCTCTTCATAGGACAGCACGTCAGGGTCATTCAGATTGTTTGAAAATCTTAGTAGATAGTGGAGCTGATGTTAATATCCAGGATAACATAGGTGAAACTCCTCTCCATTGTACAATATATGGGGGTCATTCAGATTGTTTGAAAATCTTAGTAGATAGTGGAGCTGATGTTAATATCCAGGATAACAAAGGTCGTACTCTCCTCCATTTTGCAATAGCTCCGGCGTATGTGGATTTCTTGGCTATCCAGGATTACTACGATGAAACTCTTTCCTATTACGCACGCCAGGGTCATCCAGATTGTTTGAAAATCTTAGTAGATAGTGGAGCTGATGTTGATATCCAGGATAACAAAGGCACTACTCCTCTCTATTGGACAGCACGTCGGGTTCATTCAGATTGTTCGAAAATCTTAGTAGATAGTGGAGCTGGTGTTAATATCCAGGATATCAAAGGCACTACTCCTCTTTATTGGACAGCACGTCAGGGTCATTCAGATTGTTTGAAAATCTTGATGGATAGTGGAGCTGATGTTAATATCCAGGATATGAAAGGTAACACTTTTCTCCATTGGACAGCATATGAGGGTCATTTGGATTGTTTGAAAATCTTAGTAGATAGTGGAGCTGATGTTGATATCCAGGATAACAAAGGCACTACTCCTTTCTATTGGACAGCACGTCGGGGTCATTCAGATTGTTCGAAAATCTTAGTAGATAGTGGAGCTGATGTTAATATCCAGGATATAAAAGGTAACACTCCTCTCCATTGGACAGCATATGAGGGTCATTTGGATTGTTTGAAAATCTTAGTAGATAGTGGAGCTGATGTTAATATCCAGAATAACAAAGGCACTACTCCTCTCTATTGGACAGCACGTCGGGGTCATTCAGATTGTTTGAAAATCTTAGTAGATAGTGGAGCTGATGTTAATATCCAGGATAACATAGGTGAAACTCCTCTCCATTGTACAATATATGGGGGTCATTCAGATTGTTTGAAAATCTTAGTAGATAGTGGAGCTGATGTTAATATCCAGGATAACAAAGGCACTACTCCTCTCTATTGGACAGCACGTCAGGGTCATTCAGATTGTTTGAAAATCTTAGTAGATAGTGGAGCTGATGTTAATATCCAGGATAACATAGGTGAAACTCCTCTCCATTGTACAATATATGGGGGTCATTCAGATTGTTTGAAAATCTTAGTAGATAGTGGAGCTGATGTTAATATCCAGGATATCAAAGGCACTACTCCTCTCTATTGGACAGCACGTCAGGGTCATTCATATTATTGTTTGAAAACCTTAGTAGATAGTGGAGCTGATGTTAATATCCAGGATATCAAAGGCACTACTCCTCTCTATTGGACAGCACGTCGGGGTCATTCAGATTGTTCGAAAATCTTAGTAGATAGTGGAGCTGATGTTAATATCCAGGATATCAAAGGCACTACTCCTCTCTATTGGACAGCACGTCAGGGTCATTCAGATTGTTTGAAAATCTTGGTGGATAGTGGAGCTGATGTTAATATCCAAAATAACGAAGGTAAAACTCCTCTATATTCTGCAGCATTTCGGGGTCATTTGAATTGTTTGAATAATTTAGTGGATAGTGGAGCTGATGTTAATATCCAAAATAACGAAGGTAAAACTCCTCTATATTCTGCAGCATTTCGGGGTCATTTGAATTGTTTGGAAAACTTAGTGGATAGTGGAGCTGATGTTAATATCCCGAATATAAAAGGTAACACTCCTCTCCATTGTGCAGCATATAGGGGTCATTTGAATTGTTTGAAAATCTTAGTGGATAGTGGAGGTGATGTTAATATCAAGAATAAACGAAGATATAGTGTATTAGATATTGCAATTCTTTCAAAACAAGAAGAAATAGTGAAATATATGAATGATAGACCAATTATTGAGAAATTGTGGAAAAGGTATATCGTCGGCTTACTATCAAAACCTCGTAAGTCCGAATTCTAGGGAATTTCAGGTTTGAACATTCTCACCATCCACGATCTACAATATTCAGCGCACCCATCACCAAATCATCGTAGTCTATGTGTTTGGTAGCGACATCTATTAGATATAATTCAAACCTCCTAACTCTACTCTGAGAGATTTTGAACTCAAAAACTCGTAAGTCTGCAAGAGAGGATAGGATTAGATTGCGCTTGTTGAGAAAGTATAAATCTATTGGTTGATTCATTATTTTAGCTGAAATCCATGTCAGACAACAAAGTAAGTTTATGATGAACTATTTGGTCAATCTTCTAGAATATTTCTGCAGTGATGCGAAGGACAATCTTGTTTTGATTCTTCACGTGAACAGAGGTTCTGATCTGTATGTTATCTATTTAGTAGAGGACTTAAGAGCTTTTGAGAAGAAGTTATGGATATTTATATAATTTCATTCTGTTCATTCCAAATGAAGACATTGATTGAGATATTTCGGTTCATTATTGTTGAACCCATATTTCTCATTGTTATCAAAACTGCCGCAGATTTGCTACATGCACTGTGAAGCAAGGCCAAAGTAAAAGACAATTTTCACTAGTAATTGATCGAAACCAATTCAGTCTGAATAATGTTCAATCATTAAATCATTTCAGAGAAGAATTGAATTTTCAATATTCAAGTATATATTTGCTTAACACAAATAATAACAATTTTATTTGACATACTTATCACTATTTTCAAGAATATATTTCTTTCGCAAAAGTATGTCTGATTCATTTGAGTAATACGTCCAAGATAAGGTTGAACAGCATGGGGATCTCGAAAACGGTAGGAGATACGAAGTCGGTTAAATGAGGTAAAAGTTGCGCATTCGGAGGCTCATATCAAGAGCCTTCGAAAATTTTCAAAATTATTCTTGGTATTTTAGTTATATCGAAAAAAGTGAATTTTTGGAATATCTATTTTATTTTTTTTCTCCGTTATTATTAGAGATACTGAAAAACTGAAAATACTTTTGCATAGCAACTTTTGATGGCGTTTAACGTGGTGATACCAATTTTTCTATGCGACGTTTCGTATTCGTAGAACCATCATCAACTTTTGTTTTTTAAATACGGTCCTGATAATTTTTTCACAGATTCTGGAAGGTTTTTTCATTTTGAATTCAACCATGTATTATACAAGGTGGTTTATGTGTGTTTCGACCTATTTTTACCATCATCAATGTTTTTTCGAAACTCCAAAGGAAAAATGCCATCAGTTCCACTTATTTTGGAGAAAAATTAGTCAACACACTAATACCTCATCAACTGGTTTCAATCAACAACCCATTTCATTTTGCGGAAACAAAAATTATATGTCAACCGCTAAAACCAGGCGATGACGAAAGGCGCAGGACATTCTGTGAGTGGTTTACCAGGAAATGTCAAAATTTTGCAGATTTCCCGCGAACAATCATCTGGACTGATGAAAGCATGGTCACTAATCATGGTATCTTCGATAGAAAAAATACACATTATTGTTCACGAGAAAATGAACCTTTAAACACAGACTTCCTAACGTTATAGAAATCTATTTGAGAATCATCTTGAGGAAGCTCTGGATGATTTACCGATTGCGGAAGTTCAGAACTGTTGGTTTCAACAAGATGGCGCTCCGGTACATAATTCCAGAGAAGTTCGTGCGTTTTTATCCAGAAAAATGGATTGGTACCCATTCTGCAGTTCCTTAGCCGGCGCGGTCACCTGATTTGACACAGCTGGATTTTTTTTAGGGGATATATCAAAAACTTTGTACACGCAAATAGCTTTGATGATGAAGAAGAACTAAGGGACAGTGTCATCGAAGCATTCAATAGAATTACCCCAGAAATGCTTAGTAATGTCTTAGAAGCAACTGTGAGAAGAGGATATCTTTGTTCAGAAAATAATGGTTATCATTTTGAACATTTGTTATGAATGTTTTTGAAGGTATTGTCAAAGTTAAGTTGTTTAAGTAATCCATGTAAGAATTCATCAACAATTTTAAGCACTGCATTGAATGAATGATGTAGTGAAATATTTTTTATTCATTTTTCAGTATTAAATAACTAATCCATCAATGTTTGACAGTAAATGATGAGAAATAAATAGAACTGATGGCACTTTTCCTTTGGAAATTCGAAAAAACATTGATGATGGATAGAAATAGGTCGAAACACATTGGAATCACCTTGTAAAATACATGGTTGATTTTAGAATAAAAAAACCTTTCAGAATCTGTGAAAAAATTATCAGGACCATATTTGAAAAACAAAAGTTGATGATGGTTCTACGGATACGAAACGTCGCATAAAAAAATCGGTATAACCACGTTAAATTTCATCAAAACTTGCTATGCAAAAGTATTTTCAGTTTTTCAGTATCTCTAATAATAACGGAGAAAAAAAATAAAATAG